GACATCGGCAATTGATGAGCTTATATTGTACACTTCGGGAGTTTGTCATGAAACAAAATTCGCCGGCTTGGGCGTTCCGAATATCATGTTTGCACCCTTGAAATTACAAACAAATTAACAGATTTTTCCCTGCTCCCGTAGTACAATCAGAAACGGGGATGCTGTATCGTTTGTAAAGTTCGACATAAAGCTATAAGCTATCTTATATTAAAAGGAATCCATTGAGTAGAACAGCTGTGAACCCGTGCGATATCTTCCGGAAAAGAAAATTGGGAAAAGAGTTTGATATTTCTCACAGAGGCTCAGGAAAGGGAAAAAAAGAAGGAAATTGCATAATCCTCACAATTTTTACATACCATTGAGGTTATATCTAAATCGTCCACCGCTAGAAAAAAAGGTGCATTGAGTGCGACTGATGATTCTGTAAATCTCTTTTAGAAAGAACCCAACAAAATTTTACTTTCATCACCGAAAACAATGCCCAATTTCCTAAATTAACAATCTTTTTGTTGCCTTAAATAATAATTCCATTTGCAGTTACATCTTCTTGACAACTAGGCCCTAAAAATTCTTTGCACTCTCATTGTTGAAATCACCCCCAATTTAGTGGATACCCTTACCAATGTTAAGAAAATTGATTGAAATCACTCAACTGAACTCCGCCAAAGTAATTTGCTAAGGAAGAATTTTACACCGACTCAAAACACGCAGACACGCCGGGTAACCAAGCGTCATGAAGTGGTTCAAATTGACAGTTTTATAGAACAAAACACCAGCAAAACAAACCTCTCGAAAGAAAGGAGGCTGACAGATGATTCAGCTAGAGTTTTTGTCCGGTATCTACGCTTAGACAAGATCATTGGCTGATAGCCGTGGGAAAGTTTGGATGTTTAACCGCGAATGAACAAGATTGTAAGTTCGGTTTAATAACTTTAGGAAACGGCTTCAGTCAAGGGGAAACTTAAATGAGGTGGGTGCTATTAATATCGCGCCATTTAGCACGGTTGAACACTTGCGCAAGAGATAATTTTACCACCCGTGACAAAAAAAAATAAGACATTTGGTTGAGAACAAGAGGGAAAATTATGAACAATACAGTAAAACTATATATCTAGTTTAAAGCCAACCCAACACTGCCAGGGCAATTGAAATAGGGATGATTGTAAAGCTCAGGGTTTATATCGTTCCATGATTTTAGTAACAGTGTATAGGTACTTCTGCTTACATTAAAATACTCCGCAATTAACTGCAATTGTCAATACGTGGCCTTGGCCTTGACGCAGCACGCTCAAAAATTTCTCGGCGAAGATTTACTTAGCTTAGTTTGGCGCAACGTTTACGAGCAAAATTCATGAAATGGGAATGGAAGATTTAACATATATACAGTAATGTGCATCTTTAATGACAGTTACTTTTTGGACTATAACACGATAAAGAGGGTACTGAATATCAACTGAGTAAATTAGAATCAATAAATCAAAATACCTATGTACATGCTATATTAAATTTTTTCTCTAACTCATCAAAATCCTGGAATAGTAAACATTGAATATACATAAAGGTGAATATACAAAGAGGTGCAATAATTAATGTAATTTTTATCATTTCGATTTTTTTGACGAGTACATACAAAACTCAGTGAACTTTATGAGAAACAAGTTATGAGAAAAATCAACCTTTGATATAATTGGCTGAAAAAGAGTAAAGTAGAATCGCGGAGGACTGTGCACTGATCAGCGATTTGCATTAAAACCAGAGGCTCTGGAATTTTCATGGGAGTGTCGGCGAGCCCTATTAACTGGGTGGGTGGGGGTGGTGGAGATAAAAGGGGCAAGTCTAATGCAACTGGGTCGTCTTGGTACGATTTGGAATATATGTTGACGTAAAAAAAAAGCATTAGTAAACAAGATTAACAGTTTTTTTAAAAAATAATGTCAACTTTTTTCAAGTCTTCCGCGATCGCAGTTGGTCCAGATGTAATGTTATAATTCACAATTTGTTCCAGCGCCGCAGCACATTTCTCTCGATCTAAGTTTCGCCGCTCGACTTGAGAATACGTCTGCGAGAAGTAAAAATTAGTGCTTCTTTGCACCGAAGCTGAGAGCAGACAATCAAAACACTCTTGCACATCCTTCTTCAGTAACCAATCGGACGAAGAATTAATATCAATCCAGACTTAGTCACCCGAGTTTTCTAGCGCTTCAAACAGTTTGCTTGTTTTTACTATGAATTCTCGTGAACCCCTCGAGATAATCAACTTCACCAAGTGACCTTATGATAACGTTAGATTTGGTCGAAGGCAGTCATCTGTAAAGACCTCCTAGCATCTAATATTTCCTTTCGACATCACCCTTGAATCACACGTTAAGACCACGAGAACATGATCACCAACTGAAAAAGTAAAAAAAAATTCTCTTCGTAACCCTCTTAAGAAATGGGTGTAACGGGTGAACTGTCACAATGACTTGGTCAGGAGTCGAACCCAGACTCTTCGCTCTCGAGTCAGGCGCGCCAACCACTATGCTTTCGATCGAAATTAAACCAACAAACGACACCTCACTCTGGCATGGATCATTTAATGATCAGGTGTTATTCAAATTCACCTACAGAGACTACAGACTGTCCTATGTGGACAATTAAATAAAACAACTTGGATCATTGTCAGTATCTGAGCAATTACACACCTACCCCTCCCCTAACCCAACATTAACCGTCACTTATTATCAGTTGACTCTTGTTGTTAGGGGAGGGGTAGGCGCGTAGTTGCTCAGATACTAACATTGATCTCAGTAATTGACAGCGACTGTGATATCACATCAATACAAATTAAATACTGTTAAATATACCCAAAGTACGATAAGGCCTTTCTCTCTTAAGAGACATGATAAAAAAATTAAAAAAAAAGAACACCCAAGGTTTAAATAACAGGGGCTTTTCAAATCTTTCAATCCCAAAAGTGACTAGAAAGGAATTTCTCCCAACAATATTCGTTCATTTCACACTGAAAGGTATTGATAAAAAAAATAATATAAACAATCTGACACCAGACTCTCAATAAAAAAACAATAAAGTGTGAAAAACAGTGTAGAGAATTGATATTTCGAGCTTAGAAATGAAGGAGTTGAAAAATCACCAATGAGGGAACATTTTCAAGAATAGAACACTAGGTAAATACATTAAATCGTATAAAACTAAACAAATCTTACTAAAAAAATTATCAATTTCTTGATTTGAAGCGTTTGAATACCGTATTATTTGAATACCCGTATATTCTCCAGTAAGTGTTCCTTTGGAACGAATGAATAAGTTTGAATTATTGCAAGGTCTACAGCCCTCGAAAAATAGGCGAATGGGAAAGTTCTTTCACCACAAGTTGCCCCACCATACCCTGGACATAAGGAATGAAACAATCTTCATTTGTGCCTCTC